TCAAAAACTAAAACCGATCTGGGTGTGGTGGTGCAGGCCTGTAATCCCAGCACTTGAGGGGCTGAGCAGGAGGATCACTGTGGGTTTGAAGCCAGCCTGGGCTACACAGTGAATTCAAGACCAGCCTGAGCTACACGGTGAGACCCTGTCTCAAAAAACCAAACTAAACAAAAACTAAAAACCCACCACCACCACCACACACTTCTTGTTTTCATAGGTCAACAACTGGGCCGCTGGTACAAAATTCCAACAGCAGCAGCCACATACTATTGCCATAATCAGATTGTAGGGTCAGAAAAAAATAAAGTTCTGTCCAGTTTGTGGCTAGGCGCGTTTACGAAAAAGAATATCCCATGCAAAGCAAGTAAGTTTCAGATGGAATAGCATACTTTAAAGACAATGTCTGTTCGCAACTGATGTGATAAACTATAAAATTTGGTTTGAAATGTTTAAAGTGATCTCACTATATGGACCATGAATCAAGTTCAGGGAAAAAAAAGCCGAACATAAAATATTTATACTAATAAAAACGAAGAATCATTGACTTAGACAATTACGCAATATGAGAGTAATTCTGTGGGCTCTTGCTCTCAGGTAGATACACAGTTTCTCGATCCCAAAGCCTGTTTTTATAGTACCAGCTCAGGAATGAAAGGCAAGTACGACTATGTTTACAAGGTGCACTAAAAATCTGAGAGGTGCAGAAGAACATTGTCTCTAGGGAAAGTGATTTTCAGAACAGTATGGTGCCCAGGCGTGGTGGCAGACATGCCTCCTCTCAGCACTCCAGAGCCTGAGATACGAGGATCCCCAAGTTCGAGGCCGCCTGGGCTATACACCAAGTTCGAGAGCAGTACTTCAAGACCCTACCCGAATCCCCACCCAATCCCACCCAACCCAACTCAAACAGGTACAGTACCACTTTGTATTCTGCTCTTTCAGCAATATGCTGTCAGTCCCCAGTCTTTAGCACCTTTCTGATGGGCGTTAACAGTTACACCAAGTAAAGATTGAGGTTACTTTCCATAGTTTCCTAGTATTACAATATGCTAAGAAGTCTCGTACATATAATTTGAATACAACTATTTTCTTAGGACAGAATTAAAAGTTAAAAAACTGTTGGGCCAATGTATATTTTTACATCTTTAGAAATAGATTTCTGAACTTTTCTGCAGAAGGATCACAACAGACCAACACTTCCACCCGCACTGCAGGACCTCTGTCTCCCCCCGCTTGCCAGCACTGGTTGTGACCATTTCTGAAAACCCTTTCTACCTGGGGGCTGAAAAACAGTCTCATTTTGATTCATTTCTTTGACAGGCATGAGGCTGAATGTGTTTTCGTATTTTTACTATCTGCATTTCTTCTTTCTGTGAACTAGTTATGCCTTTTCAATCCTTATTCTAAAAGAATGGGTGAATATATATATATGAAAAGAAGTTCACACTTTAAAGGATATGACAAACTTACACATGTTTAGGTTTGTCTGATGCCAGCCATACCTATCAGGGGAGATTAATGTGAGACTCTTACATAAGAAGTGCAAGAGCAAGTGTCCAGAGGCACGGAGGAGGTTAGGTGGTTATTCCGAAACAGACATGGACCGTGATCCAATAATATGAAAAACAATCTGTTACTTTGTCTGCCTCATCAGCTTCTCTGGGATTTTGATTTTCCATAAGGCAAAGAGAGAAGTAAGTCTGCAATAGCAAGCGAAGAAAGCAAGCTGCCACATGGACCGCCCCCCACCCCCGCCAGTGCACCTGACAGAAAGGGGCTGGGGATGACACCCCGTCAGGCCTGAGAAGAGCGGCCGGGGCAGCTGCGATGAGACCACACGACTGGCAGGTGCCGAGCAGCAGCAGGGACCAGCCAGTCCTGGCATGTTTTCCCTGCACATCACGTGTTTCAGGCTGCCAAGAGCTCGGCAGCACGCCTCCAGTGAGCGAGGGTCACACCCACAGGACAGGGGACCGAACAGGAACTCTGACCGCGGTCAGCTCTGACTTCCTGGGAGGTGAGTAGCGCGACTGGGAAGCATGAACGGAACCCTGTGGAGCTGGAGGGGAAGAAGACTACGACAAACAAACCCGTTCGGTTCAGAGCACTAATGGGAGAACCAGAGAAACTGCAAGTTACGAGAACTATTTAGGTAGGGTGCATTTGCTATCACAGGCTTACAAATTTTTTAAAAAAACTTCCCTGGCTAAGACTTAAACCAAGAAATTATAAAGATTTTTTCCCTGAGTAATGCATGAGGGCTATAAAACTGGGCCAGGCAAATGCTGAGTAAAAGCTTTACTTTTTCTATCTTGTTTATTTGTGTAGCCATACTCCATTTTATGAAGGTGAAGTGTTGTATTTTCGGCCCTGCCTTAAGCCTAAGAGTTGATACACCAGTGGGAACAGCTGAACATTCAAGACCTTTTCGTGATCCCTTTGTTTTAATCCTCCTCTGACACTGAGCAAATCCAACATTGCTCTAGCAGTCTAATGAGGAAGGACGAATAAAGACCCAGCTTCTGGGCAGAGAACTCTTTCCACTCCACTGACTTACCCAGAGCTTTGTCTCGTAGTTAGTACATCTGACCTGAGGGTCAAAAACAAAGTACTTGTTCACACTGTGAAGCGGGTGTGGTACAGAGAACACACCAGTGGGTCTCTACAAACATGTGATCTACAGAGAAACCCCTACAATTCTATCTGCTGATGCTGTCTGTTGGAAAATAAACACTGTGGGTTTTCTCCCTCCCGAACTGGGGCGGGGGGGGTGGGGAGAGACGAGGATATGGAAGTTTAAACTGATTCCAAGGACTGGCAGCACAGAGTACTTACCTAGTAGGCACAAGGCCCTAGGCTGGATCTCTACCTCTACCTCTCACACTCCAAAAAAAAAAACCTGAGATGAAGAAGTGCATGATGACTTTTTAAAAAATCTGAGCTGGAAACAGAGGAGCAGGTAGGTCTGGGCCAGCAAAAACAAACAGAAACCGGCCAAGAAAGGGCCTCCTGCCAGCTGAGCTGGGCCAGGCCCCGTCCCTTCCTGCACCCTGTAGTAGAGGCACGCATGGCTGCTCTCTGAGCCCAGCATGGCACTTGAGGTGTAACTATCAATAAATCGGGTAAGAAACTCACCAGGTCTTTCAAATTCACAAGGAAAGAAACCCATCTACCTAGAAAGTGCCGCTTATTTCACTGGGGGGAAAAGGCGCTGCAGTGTAATGATTATGGTATGTAAGACAGGCAAGTAAACTAGAAGTGGGTGCTGCTGGATGTGTGAACACAGACAGCAAGGGCTTAAGGCTAAATCTGGAAGAAAAATGCTTTGCGAAGAGGCTGCAACCAAAGCTAACTGGACTACGTTTTCTGTTTACAGATGCTCTGGGGTTTTTCTCCCTTAAGTAAAGGGGACTGAGCTCCAGACCCTCTATCGCTAAGCTACATCCCCAGTCCTTAATTTTTGTTTTGGGACAGGGCCTCGTTAAATTGTCCAGGCTGGACTGAACTTGCAATCCTCCTGCCTGAGTCTCCCACTGGGCTGGGATTATGGGTGGGCACCGCGGCACCCAGTCCCCCACTTTTCCAAAACTCCCTTCTCCCCTTTATATGCCGAGCTTAAAACTTGAGAAAAATGTTTAAAAAACCCACCTTCATGTTACAGCAGTCACAAATGCCAGAGTCCCTAAAGGCTTGAAGAATACTGTTTTACATTCAGAGTCAGAAGTAGGTGGATTTCCCTAGAAAACACTCCTCCGCTTCTCCAAAACAGATCAAGCATACCACTGCAGCCTCTGGACAGCAATAGAAAAGGGACAGCTCCAAACCGTCGGCTAAAATGAACCTTAAGTGCGATGAGGATGGTTTCAAGCACAATGCCTGACATTCAGGACTTGAATTATAGATGTTCATGAACAACAGTTAAAAAATTCAAGTGAGGTATTTTAGATTGAATATCCCAATTTTGATAAATATATAGAGCTATTACCTTCTCAGACAAAACTAGAAGGAAAAGAATACCCAATTTAAGAATGGTAATCCTAAAAAATTAATGAAGGAGTAAGTCAAAGACTTCCTTATGTCTCTTTGGAAAATAGAGCCGTAAGAGTAAGAATTTTGCCGCATGTGCTTTAGACTAGCTCAACACACTTTTCCTGTGAAGGTCCAAGAGTAAATTTTTCAGACATTATGGACCAGACTGTTTCTGATCCAAGTACTCAATTCTGTTCCACAAGATGAAGGTAGCTAAGGACAACATTTAAATAAGTGATCCCCTGCTTAGGCCAGCACTGCCCACAGACCCTTCTATAAAACAGAACTGTCCCACGGTCGGGCTACGGAGCATTATAATATGGCTACCGTGACAAAGAAACCGAATTTTCAGACTTTCTTCAATATCAACATCTGCAGATTCCAGTCTCTTATTAAAAAATGACACAGTATTTGCATCTAACTTTTTGTTTTGTTTTGTTTTTTTGGGTTTTTCTCCGGTACCGGGAACCGAATTCACGGCCTTGCACTTGCCAGGCAGGTGCTTTTGCCGCTGAGCTAAGTCCCCAGCCCCATTTGCATCTAACTTTAAACATACCCTCTCGTGTATTTTAAATCATCTCTAGATTATCTATAAATAGCAGTTACACGGTACTATTTGGGGAATGATGAAAAGAAAGTCTGTAATGTTCAGTACAGAGAAAACTTTTGCTCCCAAGTATTTTCAATTTGTGGTTCGTTGGAACCATGAGTCTGGAGCCCACAGGTATAAAAGGGCAACTGTAGTTGAAATATAAACACCTACGTGTAACTAGAGGCTATCACACTGACCACCACGGTATGAAACTACTAACTGGTCAGTTTGACCTCTACTCAAAAAACCTAAAGCTAAAAATGAACCTGGTGATTCTATTTAGGATGAACTGGGAAGAGAAAACATGATGTAAAGTTTCCAATAACTGAGAGATCACACTAGTAAATAATCAAAATTCTCAACAAGAGGAGGAGGATACGTGTAGAGTTCCATGTATCGGGACTTGGCCATACTCTGTCTGGTATAAACTTGCTGAATTCCAGCTCGGAGGTCATCCCAGATCTGGTCGAGGCCAATCTGCTTCAGTCCATGGGGATTCTGACTCCTGCTTGATGACATCGTGAGTAATGTTCGGAAGTTGTCCAGTACAGCAATCCTTAGTCAAGACGCAGCTAATTCGCCATTAGTTGAAAATATACAGTATCATCCCAGATTTATTCACAGCAGCTAAGAAAGGATGTCCTTTAAGTGTAGAGAATGAGATCTCATTGCAGGCAAACCTGAAGAGGAAAGAAAAGGAATAAGTGAACTCTTTAACATCTTCAGATAGGTAACAGGGTTACATGCACTGATAGAAATACTCCATTTATGGGCATTAGCAGGTATTGCTGTAGTCCAGTGATCATTTGTATGTGGAAACCTCTGCATTCCAGGGGTTGTGTTCAGAATATATTTAGACATTTCATGTGAAATTGTTCAACTATTAGCAGTCATGGAAAACCTACGCAAATGGAGGCACCATAAACTGTTGCTTTTCATTATCTTCTACAGGGACGGAAACTTAAAATATTTATCACTTGACCTACACGATTGGGAAGACAAATGCAAAGAAAAAGGGCACAAGCTATGCTCAGGAAATTTCCAGAAAGAGGACAATTAACAAATACGGAAAAACAACAGTTTGTTTACCTGTCACTTTTGGTAATTTTCCCTTGGCACTTGGTAAGAAACTAAATGCCAGCGAGAGAAAAGATGAAGGAAAACAGGTACACAGAGAATCTAGAGGGAATCAAAGCGTGTACAGTGCACCCCTGGCTTCACAGGCTTGGGTATGAGCTCAGCCCCACACTTACAGGTGTGCAGAGGTAAGCTGCTTAACTTTCTAATCCTCAACTTCCGATCTACAAAATGGAGCAACCGCATTCCTCACCTGTCTGTTGAAGGTTAAATAATGCATATAAATAAAATAGTAATGTTTAACACATATTTAATGTTTTAGCAAATGTTTTAATGTTTAACACTGTTTCTACGTGCACAAAGCTATTTCTTTTGTTTGTTTTTTTGAGACAGAGATTCACTATGTAATTCACGCTGGCCTTGAAACTCACTATGTAGCTCAGGCTTGCCTCCAACTCACAGTGATCCTCCTGCCTCAGCCTCCCGAGCCTGCTGAGATTGTTAAGAGTGTGCCACCACGCTGGTCTAAGTATATTAAGCTACTGCATTATAAAAGATCATCAGTAAAGGACCTTTTAAGGGTGTTCAATATTGTATCAAGTTAGTACTTCTTAATGTGCAACATTCCAGACGTACTTTCAGGATTATCTGCGTATATCACACCAAAATGTAGACATTTCAAATCAACATTTCTAGTGAAAAATGAAGATTCTTTTAATGGTGTCATAAAATAAATACCACAGGGAAGCCAATAGGATCCGAAACAGTATGCACAAGTTGTTAAAGCCTGCAGATCCATGCCCGAGTTTCCTGGCCAAGGAACTCGGAGCAGCCCAGCTCTTCAGGATTACAGAGTGCAAGGAGCCCGAGGTGCATCTGAGCACTGCGCAGGACACGCTCCGGATTAAGGCTGGACTACCAAGACCCAAATCTTCTTTAGTATTTGTAGCCTGGGCTATACAAGTAATATTTTATGCAACTACACCATTCCTGATCTTGAAATTATTTTATTTTGAACGCACAAACAGCTATGTTCAAACGTGAAATGTATCTAACACGAGGACTCCCTCAAATGCAAACATTCCCTATGTCGAGTTTTAATCCGCCTTTCCTTTCATCATCTCGGAGGAGCACAGCACACGAGGCTTGATAACCATCAGCATGTTTGGACTGGTGCTGCCCCGACAGCATCAACTACTATTTAAGCCTCATCACATCTGTAATTCCCCCCAAAGTGGAAATTACCACTTAAATTGCCCAAACCAGAACCAACAGTGCATCAGTTCTATCCTGGGTAAGCTTTCTCACACCTACCTGGATGTCACTCCCTTCCCCGCTTTTCTTCTAAGTTCTACCAGCAACCAAGGAAAAAGTCTCTGCCCTCTGAACTCCATTTCCGGCCAGTGCTGCCCGCCTCTGTACCCACACAGCAGAAACCGGGGAGGGCTTCTGAGACTCATCTCATACTTGCGCGCTGCTGATGCTAACCGTCAAGGCCACTTCAAACCCATCCCCTCGAGGCCACCTCCTCCTCTCATCACGATCTCTTTACCGCCACTGCGGGAGCCAAACTGGGCTCACGCCTCTACCCCGTGTGCTCCCGCTCCCTCCTTGCCCGTCTGCACCTGTGGTCACCCTGAGAGCAGTGGGGAACCCCTCACACAGCACCACCACACCCTCTGCTTGCTCCGCTGTCCCTCTGGGTACAGCTCCCAGGCCCACACATGCTGTCTCCCTTCTGCACACCTGACCTCAGGGCAGACTCACTGGGACGCCCCCCAGGAGGGGTCAGGCCCTCCCCGTCTTGCCCTGTCACCATGTAGGGATTTAAGCGGAAGCCCCCGCCTGCTTCCTCTCTTCACCGTACGGAGGACCTCGGCACAGCGATCGTCTGTCCCTTACCGTGTTATCCCAAGACACAGCGCAGAGCCCAGCGCACGGCCTGACAAATGCTTTACATGAATAAACGAAAGACGTGGAAAGCTCTATGCTTTGAAAGGGTTAAAAAATCATGAAAAACCAGGATCATCAAACATCTGCATTTACTCAAAATCCCCTCTTCAGGATCTCCATAAATGACTTTTTTCCAAATCTTTCCTTGAAACACTGGATCTTACACTAAAATTTATTTCTCATTAGGTAATGGCTTACACTGCCTGGTTACTGAGAGTGTATGTTTATTATCTTAACATAATTTCTAGAAAAATTACAGAACTTTTAGTCACCGCTTATACTTAACAAATACTTAGTAGGAAACTGCTGTGTCCTAGGCCCTGGCTGTATACTGCAGTACACCAGAACGCCACGGTCTGTTTTCATAATACTCCTGGCTAGCGAATAGTCTTTCCTTCTAAGCAGCAAACAAACACATAAAACCTGCTGGTGCACAAACTACTTGTAATGTGGAGACTTTATGTACCACGTACATGTGTAGCCAAAGTATTCTACCCACGAAAGCCAATTAAAGTCACAGATGTTTAGAAGCTGACTTTAAAAATAGTTCTGGCCTTTCTTTTTTCAGATGAAGAAACAGAGTCAGAGAAGCAAACCACCATGGTCAGGACTGTCCTGCTAGAAAGTAGCAGGACCACTGCCAGGTCTCAGGGCTCACAAGCCAGTGTGTCCCGGCACTGCGCGCTGAGCTGTGGGTTCTTCTGCTTTCAAGGTGTCAATAAAGAGTTCAGCCACTGTACAGCCATACGTAACAACAGGCTCCCCTTTAAACTAAGAACCCTAAAGAGCTGTAAAAGCACAGTTTTAAAAAGTTATCAAATTAGTTCTAATTATATCAACACTAAATTTATTCAAATATTTTGAAATTTAAGAAACAATTTAACAAAGCCTGACAAACACTAACAGCAAAACAGTATAAAGGGTAGTGTTACTACAGCTCTGTCCTCCGACAAAGCTAAAAACACCAGGTTAAAATGGCTGGCGTGGATCTTTCTCCACATCTCCACTCCCCTAAACCCAGCGTAAGTCATGTGCTGCTGCCTTGCTCTTTTGGCAGTACTGGGCACTAGATCCATCCAGCCTTTTTTATATTTTGAGATGGGATCTCACTAAGTTGGTCCTGAAGTTGTGACCCTCCTGACTCTTCCTCCCCAGTGGCTGCGATTATAGGCACATGCCACCACACCTGGCAGTGATACGCTTCTTGATGTACGCTCTTTATGTGCTTCTATTACACTTCTGACCCCAGTTAGGAACCTCACTCTACCAAGACCCACAGGTCATCTACAAGAACACACACAAGCTCTTCATGCTATGCTTTCAAGGTTATTTTATTACATGTTTTCTGCATCTAGTTCAACACATGGCAACCATGCCACCAAGCCTCAACCGACACTCAATATGCAGAAATTGACCAAGGCCTTCTATTGCTGTTAGATGTTTTGCTGCTTCAGGTCTGCCGTTCCCTTTTTCTATTCTTACAGAGTATCCAAAACTCATACCCAGCTGATCCGAGGTGCGCAAACACTCACGAGCCCTCCTCTGTGTGAGCAGGCCAGTGTAAAGGGGACAATCCTACCCTCTATTCTCTTATCTCCTAGAGAGCGTAACACCTGAATCCATCTGTAAGACATCTGTAAGTCGTTACAGCAAAGGAACCTAAAACTAGTCTGAAACAACATGGTAAACATACGCATATGCAGAAACATCTGCAAGGACAGGTCCTGGGCTGACAGCAGACGCGACACCAGCCCGGGCGGCAGATACTTCCTACGACAAACACCTTTACATGCAAGAGCAGAACACAACCTGTGATGCAGGTTCTGTGAAGCCGGGACCATTCCCGAGGACCGGTCAGACACTGGCAGCACCTCCCTGGGCACTAAGGCTGGTAGAGATGCTCACCCTGATGCTGATCCTGACAGTGTTGGCAGCTGGGGGCCCCACTGCCCACTGCCCACAGTAAACCCTTCCTCAAAGAGGCATCTGGTGGGCCAGGGCCACACCACATTGCTCGGCCCTGACACAAGCAGCTCGGGGGCTGGAGTTTCCGGGCCAGGAAGGGCACAGGTGACAAGTGTCGCACGCGCATTGTTTGCTCAGGTCTCACTCTGGCATTTGGCAAGATGAATGCCAACAGACTGGCTCACCTGTCAACGCTGAAGTTTCAGAAATACTCCACTTTACAAACTATGTACCTTCCGCCTCAACCGGCCACCCAAACACATCCGCAATCTTGAGCAGACTTCACACAAGTCAGAAATGTCACAATGGTTTTCAGGTAAGATAAAAATCTTCTCCTAATAAACCACATCACATAGCCAGAAAGCTCAGGAAGTCCCCTAAACCTGAGAAAGAAAAAAAGTATACTTCGGACGCGAGACTGTTTCCCAAAGTACCCTTGGCATCACAGGCTCTGCCAGGTGTAGTTATGAAGGGCCAAGTTTTCAGACACCCCTCTGAGATCTGCCACCTCACGCCCTGGGAGCACGGGCAGTCGAGCAGGGCTCAGGGAGGGCAGCAGGAGCCAGCGAAGGCAGCCTTGGTCCCTTGCATACCTCCTTACTCTCAAGGAGGCTCGGCCACGCCCGCGAGCACCTGCCAGCCCCCGCGAGGCGCACAGACGTCATTTTCCTGATAGGAGACCAAG